GACACTGAGGGCAGGCTGATAACCACTATAACATCCATGCATGAGTTGGGAGTTTCAACACAGATTCTCTGGCGTATAAATATGGTAGATCGAATACAAATTTACCTTCCAGGAGGAATCATGGAGGGTCTGATAGCATTGTGCTACTTTTCTCTGAAATTCAAGTTTCTCGTATCTTTCACCTCCATAGCCTCCTCTTTCTGCAGCTTTCTAATGATGCCAACATAACATCACCACAGTTATAGGAATTACACAAGAAAATTAATTCAACCAGTGCATGTGCCTAGATGCTGGAACTCAGCAATTATTTGAGAAGCAAAATGGTCAACTGACATCCAGGGCCACCCTAACAATTCAAATATGCATGACTGTACATGTGCGTGAAATTATTTGTGTTCCAAGGATAAAGTTGACTGCTACAATCTCCAATGCATTAAATATTAGTTGCTCTACAAGACTGATTAAACTCAATTATATATAGAGATAGTTGCATCAAGTTATTACTATGGCTAAAGGATCATTGTATTTTTTTTTTTTTTTTTTTTTTTTTTTTTTTTTTTATTTTGGAAATAATTATAAAACGTGGATTATCAGGCATCAATTAATTTGATATCAGCGACAGGGGATCCCAGCACACGAAGGCCACATTTTAAGCAGGTTTCTTGTTTAAACCATGTTCAAAGGATGGTATACTAATGGATGAAAAAGTAAATTGAGATGAGGTTGGCTTTTTTTTTTTTTTTTTTTTTTTTTGGAAATAATTAAAAACAGTGGATATCAGGATCAAGTTAATTGATATCAGACAGACCAGCACAAAAGGCACATTTTTAAAGAGGCTTTCTTGTTTACCATGTCAAAGGATGGTAATGACTAATGGGATGAAAAAGAAATTGAGATGAGGTTGGCTTCTCACTACGGTCCACATCTACAGAACATGGCGATGGTCAACATATTTTGCTTAACTGTCAGACCATATAAAGAGCTCACCTCAGGCGATATGTCAAGGTAAAGTACAAGATCAGGAGCCAGCAACCCAATCTCAGGAGCCTGCAAGAGAATATCTCATTCACTACCAGATGGAGGACATAAACATCATTTTCCAAAGACGACAACAACAACTAAGCTTTAGTCCCAAACTAGTTGGAGTCGGCTACATGAATTCTTTGTTTCCAATATTTGCTCTGATCAAATTAATAGCAATGCACAGTAAAGTATAAGCCAGAAAAAAATTTCGAAATACTTTTCACATAAAAATTTTCTGATATACTCCCTCCATCAAAATTGTAGTCCCACTTTCCTTTTTGGGTGTCCCAAAATAATAGTCCATTTACATTTCCAGAAATATTTTTCTTTTCACTTTCCCGCAACACCCTTATATAATAACTCGTGTAAATAATTAATATTAGTTGAATTTACTAAATAATAGAAAAAAATCTTAAGATAATTGATTTTGAAATCTTGGTAAACTAACTATTCATCTTATTTTAAAAGTTTCAAGGAATTATTAATATACAATGTTTAGAACTTTAAGGATATATGTGGAAAAATAAGAAAAAAATTATAGTTAAACTAATTTAACTAACTTTTCTTAAACTATGGGAAAAACATTTAGGACTGTAATTTTGGGACGGAGGGAGTATTAAAAATAACTAGAATAAAGCATAAGATAGACAACAAGTAACTAGGCCTGCTATATGAATCATTTTCCAAAGACATCATGGTAAATCAGCATTAATTTCAAACCATTTTCATGCTTGTGTTCACCTTACACCACTCACAATCAAGACCTTTGGCAGATGAGAAAGCAACTCCAGAATAAGAGTACCGATCAACAATGAGAGACGTTCCACTTTTCAGCTTGGTTTCCATCAATGAGCTGCAAAATCATCCACATTTTCAAAACTATAAATATTTAAACATTCATTCAGGTAAAAAGGATTCGGTAATATTTGGCAATACCAATTGACATTTAAAATTAAAATTCTCAGCACTTGTTACTTTTAAACTTTTTGATAATATTTATCTGCATGTCACTTATAAATTCAGGTCTTAATTTTCAATTTTACCAAACATCACCTTAGTCATGAACATACGTAAAGTGAATTACATTTGACAAAATCCATCAATTCATTCTATAATCATTTACAATCTCCTAATGAAAGTATCAACTTGCTTGAAAATTTAATTGTATTACTAAATATCACTTCACAGCATAATACACTTTTGGTAAGCCAAACATAGGACTCACTCAGCCCTCAAGAACATAACCAATCATTATACATCAGAATGTACATACAGTCATTAAACTTTTAAATTGTCTTGATGAATCAAGAACACAGCTTAATGAGACACTGGAAAGTCTAAGTAGTGGCACCATGACATCGAACTTCTAATAAGGCACCTTATTTCCACCTTGTATTATGTTTTATAATCTTAGATTCAAGGGATGTACATAAAGGAGACTCACAAACTTTCATCAGTGCTTTTGAAGAGAAACTGAAACTACAAGTTTTGAAATCAATACCCTTTAACTTCAAGAAACAATTTGAAAGGAAAGTTTTCATACTTACAAAGACATTTTTTCTTACACTCTTTCAAATCCTAACTCCACAAATGAGCATATGTTTACATGAATGCCACCAAAATTTGATTTGCCACGATACTAATTACAAAATGAAGATATCCTACATGAAACTTGGAAAACACATCCTTGACCTTTTCAAAACACATGCATCTCATTTGTCTTAATTCAAAAAATTAAAAAAAATAAAAAATGGAAAAGCTAGAGATTAGAGCAGTTAAGGGTGATAGGTGAAAAAGATAAAATATTCCAAGAAGCTAAAACCCTAATTTATAAAATGCTAAACCCGTGAGAATAGGTCCGCAAGACTTTATCTACACTTTCAGTATGCATAACATCTATATCACATATACATGGACAAGGACAACAAATTCTAAAGTGTCTGCAATGGTATTTAAGGAGCATTCATGCAGTAAAAATCAACTTCATAATCTACTGTACAGCTCAGGAAAAAATGTACAAGAGAACTATTAAATCTGGGACAGAGGTGGATTTCTTCTCTGAGCACGTACCAGCAAGGGATCCCTTTATTCTTGTTACAAAATAAATTAAAACAAGAGACAAGCTGATATTAAAATAATAATGACATGGATAACTAAATACCTAGCTTATTAATATAAGCAACTGAATGAAATTTTCATCGCCACCTCATATTAGAAAACATAGACAAGTAAAAGCTGAAGGTTTTACAGCCATCTCGTTCACCATAGAAAAAGATTGTACCTCTTTTCCCACCGATTTGCACTATATAATAGATGAATTGTGTGATCATCCAACTGGGATTGATTTGAAAGATAAGCAGATATCATCTGTCCAATGCTAGTAGTTCTATCAGGAAACCGCCATAATTCAGTTGGATGCCCAAGTCCCTCCAAGTAAGAGACCATTGCGCTAGATTGAGAAGTCTTTCCACTGCGATCCAAGCCTTCTAGAACTATGAAGGCACCTCTCGACCCACAGTTCTCAAACCTTAGGTTAGCATTACTAGTATTTTTATTTTCCATTCTGACCAACCTAAGGGAACTCTTCCAGGGGTAATTCAAGCAAGAATTCAGTGACCTCCTTGCAGATAAAGTACCAAAAATTCTACAATTTAACAAAGAAATGTATATTAGTCAAGAAACTATGTTACTATTTTCAGTTTTTCTTTTGTGATTGTGTTTAGTTTAGACCAAATAATTCAATTCTAAAAATTGCAGGAAAAGGAAAAAAAATGAAAATTTTAAGTGACATGGGAAGAGAGAAAATTTACTAACAAAGCCTTAGAAAATGTGAAGGAGCAATACATGTCATGTCCCTCATAAATTTATAGCCTGCAACCAGCAAAGCATGTAAAAAATGAGTTTTAGATTCCAAATCACTCAAAAACCAGGATAAGAGTTTTCGAATTGTAAATTAAGGGCTAAAACAAACTGAAACTACTGAGTAAAAGTAGACAAGTTGGTGCCGGAAAGCTGTGAAGGCGGTGATTGTGAATTGGAAGGGAATGGCTTGTGATTGTAATGACAGCAGTTGACTATTATCAGCAGTCTGCTGAGTGCTTCATTAGGGTTGCAGAGGAATCGAGGGAGGAGGGAAAAAAGTGAGGAAGAGCGAAGTGCTTAGCATCTTTCACACAAATGTCAAAGCAACAAATTTCACAAACATTAGCATCTTAACATAATCACAGTAACTGGAGATTGGTTTGTAACATCACCAAAACCCCCAAGAAGCTGTCCTCACACATACATGGCCATCCAGCCTCATCCTCACTTGACTAGCCCTTTCGTTGTTATTTCATACTCTCTTTTCTTTTTTGTTACCAACAGGAAGCCACCCTATGGTATTTTTCATATAATCCATATTATATATCATAAGATGCATAAGGGGGTGCTGATCTCCCCATATATGGTCAATAGTATCATGGACCGCCCTTAGAAACCTTGCAGTGATCCGCTTCATACCAGTGCCCCCACAAACAAGGCAAGCAATAGCACATACAGCTAATCAAACAATTCAATCAATGCAATTCATCAAGTGCAACTATAACAAATAAGTAAACAATTAAATATATACATATTTCAATAATAATAATTATATTAATGATATACAAATAAATAATTAAGTGATAACTAAGCATAAACTTTTAAGTAGTAAATGGATTTATGCATAATAATGTTGGTATGTACTATTTATTATTGCTCACAGTGATAGAAGAGAAAATACTCTAGCTCTGGTTCTGCATTAGAAGGGCACAAGGTGAACTCAAACGACCTACAAGAACTGGAATTAAGAAGGAAGAATGATCAACTAGTAGATTCTATCTTTTAAATATATTTATTACTACCTAAGGTTCTTATCGAAATTTCAGCAAAACCGCCCCTAAGAATAGGACATTCTACTTAGGGTTGGCAGCGGGGCGGGTAACCGCAAAAAATAAACTATCCGAATTCGAATCCATTATTAGTTTAAGTACCCGAATCCGTTAAGGAATAAACCAAAAAGAACCAAACCCGTCCCAAACCCATTTAGAACTACCCGCATACTACCCGTATCCGTTTAAATACTCGTTAATCACAAATTTATTCAATCCAGGAAACCCAAATATGAACCCAAAGTGCAACAAAAGAAATACATAAAAATACACTAAAATTCAACTTCAAAACAAAAAAACAATTTATCCTGTAATATTCAAAATAATAAAACAAATTAACATGTGATATTCTCAATCAACAGTACATAGTAGTATTAAAATAAAACAAAAGAATTGAAATTCAAACAAATATCTCAATTCTCAATTAAATAATTTGACAATCAAAAATCTATTAAAATTCAATAAGAATAATATCAACCACAAACTAAAAACTAATTAAAATATAATAATACTAAACTATAGCAAATTATCATAGAATGAGAACTAAATCCATATAAAACATAATAAAAAGTATGTCAATAAAAAAAATTACTGAATTAAAAAGCACATCAAAACAAAACAGCACTACAACAAAAACACAAGAATTGTACATAAACATAATATTCTTAATACAAACATAATTCTTGAACTCCACTTTTTCAAGAACCAAGATTGCAAGGATTAACAATCAACATCATCTTCAAAACTAATTAAAATATATACCGATAATAAACCAGACTAAACTAATAAGCAAAAGTTATCATGAGAATTTGCAGAACTAAATCCCATAAATAAAACATAAAAAAGGGTATGTCATAAAAAAAATTTTCACTGAAGCTTAAAAAGACACATCAAAACAAAGCAAGCACTACACGATCAACAAAAACACAAGAATTGTAGCATAAACATATATTCTTAAATCGCAAACATAGATCCTGTGAGAGCTCGCCCGACATTTGATTCAATAATACAAACATAATTCTTGAACTCCACTTTTTCAAGAACCAAGATTGCAAGGATTAACAATCAACATCATCTTCTTCCACACAAAAAACATTCGACTCTGTGCATGAACAAGAATCTGAAAAATAAATAAATAAGAACTTTGACATTATGAACTTTCACATTTTGTACAAAAAGCAGATTCCTTTTAACGTGTTTTGCTTATCAAAGTTTGATATTAGTAACTAACCGCATTTACAATATCAAATTTTAAATTTGAAATCCTATTATTGAAAAGCAAACTTTGAATAACTTTAGCAGCAGAAAAATTGACAAACCATTCTCAGTATATGACAATTATATGCAAATAATCTCATTATCAGTATCTCTAGACAATCTTAATCATTATTAACAAACCAAACATATCAGATTTCACTCAACAAACCACGAATTGGCTTATATTCACCATCCTTTTGCCTTTCACCATCCTTTTGCTTTTAATATATATATTTTTCACAAATTGAAAACATTGGCAACAAAACCCATCAAAACGAAAAAAATAAAACAATTGCGCAGAATAAGTCTCGGTGAACCTCATTAAAATTAAAATTCACAATTCTCCTCTTTGTTTTATATGATTGGTTTTATAAATAAATAAAAAAAAAAGAAAAAAAGAGAAGATATAAATGGGAAAAGGGACGAAAGCAAAATGAAAAAAAAAAAAAAAAACCGGAGAATGTAAATTGTTAAAAAAAGTGCCAGAAGAACGGAACCTGAACTATGTAACCTTGGAAGAGCACGACGGCTTGCGAGAGGCGATGGCCAAAGAACGAAAGCAACGGCAGGTATAAAGAAAGACTGGTGGCAGAAAAAAAAAAAAAAAAAAAACCGAGAATGAAATTTTAAAAAAGTCAAGAACGAACCTGGAACTTGTACCCTTGAAGAGCACGACTGCTGCGGAGGCGATGGCCAAGAACGAAAGCAACGGGAAGGTATAAAGAAAGACTGTGGCAGTAGAAGTGCAGACAACGAGCGGCGCAGGGAAGGGAGGGAGAAGAAAATACGTTTTGCTTGAGTTGAGTTTGAGAGAACTTTCTGTTTGTATGATTAAAATGCAACTCTAGGCTAAAACGACGTGGTTTTTATTTGTGGATTCATTTAAACCTCCCATATCAAAACTGCGACGTTTCGATAGTAAATTAGTTATTTTTGTTATTATTGTTGTTAAAGTTATTATCATTGTTAAAGTTGTTATTATTATTATTAGTTATTAATTAAAAAGCTATAATTATATTTCAATACTATAATAATTGCAATAATAAAATATTATGTAAGTATTATGTTTAATAATTTTTTATTAGATAATATACTTAGTATGTTATAATTATATACTAATATAAATGATGATACTAATAAAAAAATAAAAAGGCATTTAACTAAGATCCAATTATAATTATGTTTATAAATTTATTGGTGATATTTTCTACGAGTCATATTCTAATTTACCAAAAGCATATCAAGATTTCATATCAAGATTTCATATTCCACAGCGGTTATATTTTAAATTAAGATATAATTATAATTATCATTAGAAATTTATTAGTGATGTTGATAAGTAAGTTTAAAAATTTTTAATTATAACATTCTATTTAATTAATACTTTTTTATTTTTAATAAATTTCACAAAAAAAATTCAATTAAATTACTAAGACATGACATGAATACTTATATATAATTTTATTTAATATATTTTATTAAAAAATTAATTTATTAAGATATATAATATAATGTATATAATTTTATTAAAATTTATTTATCGATAAGATGTATATCTAATAATATTTTATTTATTAATAAATATTTAAAGTATAAATTACTATAGTTACCGGAAGATATATATTTTGCATATTTTTTACACAAGAATGTCGAGTAGTTACGAGTAAAAACTATAGTTACCGGTATATAAATTAGACTGCTAGACTCAAAATCAGTAAGTTTCTACAACATGCAATATTGATTGCTAGACTCAAAATCAACGGAAGGAACTTGCAAACTAGAAGTAGGAATGCCGAATCCATCTTAGCTAACGTGCTAGAGTGCGCTAGAGAAGGCGATTTCCGGCCGGCTATTGAGAACCAGGTATCGCGATATCTATCAACCTCTCTCGCTTCTGTGTTCATGGAATCCGCCGAGAATGGAAGGATTGATGGCCGGACTGTGACTTAGCGACGGAAAGTGGGGCGTAGCTTCTGTTTCCCGGCTGGAGGTCATCGGAGAAGGTGGTGGAGGGGAAGAGATGTCGCGCGGTACGGAGGGAGAAGGGCTAGAGAATTTAGTTTCTATTATTTTCCCCTCTCACCACTAACGGTTCGATTTAATTATCGGTTCGGTTCCCTTCTAAAACTTCGGTTTATTTTGGTTTTTCATCTGGTTTGGGTTTAGTTGGTTTTATGAATTTTATTATTACTTTTTTTATAAGCCACTAATGTTGAGAGCCTATAATCAATGACCGCCTAATTCAACTCGAAGCTTAATTAATACTTTTCGCTCCCTCTCCAAGTGTGTTCACAATGTTCCTTTAAATAGGCTATTTAATTAATTAATTATCAATTAAAAACAGGATATTTATTTAATAATTTTGTTTATTTAATAATATTAAATAATAGAGCTTTAAAAATAAAAAACGTAGATTCGACCATTAATAGACAATATTTTCAAATTTAGACTAGATTTATCAATTCAACTGGTTAAATTTTTTAAACCAATCATTTTTTATTTCGATTTAGCTCACACTTAGAATATTGAAGTCATGCCTTATTAAGATGAAAAATTTCAAAATATACCTAATGGAATCAACAACTAATTTATATTATATATTATATATAATTATAGATATATAAATAGATAGATAAATGGATAAATATAAATAAATAGATCAATACAATAATAATTAGTAATCATATATATAGGATAAATAAACATAGAGAGTGAGACTTTTAGTATTTGCTTCTATCTTACTTGGGAGATTTTTCAGCGGTTTTCTATTTTCTATTCACTTTTTCTCCTATTATTTATTTTTTCAATGATAATTTGCACTTTTTAAGTTATAAAAACCAATTATGGCATGTGAAAAAATTAATTTTTTTCAGTAATATTTTTATGTATTTTCAAATTGAAAAATAAAAATTACTACTTTCTAAAACATCACTCTTTAATTCAGCACTCTTTTCGCCCTTTTCCTTTTAATTAAATTTCAGGTAATACTAACTAAACTATGCTTCAAATTATTTTATTTTTAATTTATTGCATGCTAAATATGCTAAAGTGAAAAATATGACTTCCTCACTATGCTAATGGAAAGCAAGATGAATTAGATTTTTTAATATTTTGGGATATTGAAAAAAATATATTTTAATTAATTATCTGAATGTTAAATAGGTAACAAAGCTTATAAGGCTTACAGAGTATAAAAGTTTTTGGTCCTATCATGGATAAAGTGCGTTTTTTAAAGATCAAACTTGTATTATCACTTTTACGAAATTACTGTTGTTTACCATTTCAATCTATACACAGTTGGTTTTCTTTTTATAAATTTTTGTATAGGTGTTTGATTAATTATTTTTTTTCCAATATTGATGGGAAAAATATATTTTATTTAAAATATATTTTTTTTTGAAAGATTTTGTTTAAAATATTAAACCCTACATGAAAAGCCTCTATTTAATGAGAGACCAAGTTTAACCGAAACTATAATTTTTTTTTTTTTATATTATGTATTTAATGAAAATATAATTTGAGTGGACCTTCGAGCGGCTATTGTTGTTGTCGGATCGAGCGGTGCATCCACTGCTCAATGCTGACTTCACTATATACAGTACTAGATTTCCTCCAGTAGCTTCCAATGAGATATATCAAACTACAGACGCATCCACGGCAAGTGTCTATTTCTATCCAATCAAATTACGTTTTCAAGTATTTGAATTTAGTTTCTCCAATTAAAAGTGATGATTTAATTTAATTAACAGTGAGCTAATAGATAGAGTGAATAGCTAAAGACAGGTGATCCTATCCAATTAAAACCTGGGCAGCAACTTAACCGCTGGCAGATCCGGCTGATATCCACAATAATCGAACCCGTCGGATTGGTATACGTCAGAAATCCAACGGTTAATACTTTTCCAGCAGTTGTTCTGGAAAGAAGCTACTAAACTGTCTAACTATTAAGTCCCAAAGTTTCTCTCTCTAACACGAGCGCGTACACTCTCTCTCTAGGTTTTCTTTTGTTTTCATAAAGAGGGCCTTGTCGTCTTCGACTCGGGCGGCTCTGCTCGCGACCCAGTGTAAACAAGGCCGCAATCGTGCTCTCTGTTGAAGTTAATTTGGCGCTTCGATTACGGGTCCAACGTTAACGATCTAGGGCTTTGGTTGCGGGTGGTCGTATTATTCTTTATATTTATTCCTTTTTCCTGTTCTTTACATGAATTATCTTCGACGGATTCTACCGGAGTTCGTTTCGGTGGAAGGATTCGCTATTTGTTGAGCCAGCAAAGGATTATCTACTGGTAAATCACTTTTAGTGTTTTGGATTTGTGTTTCTGTTATTGGTTTTATAATAAGGTAAAAGGATGGTTCTTGTTTTGTTTTTAGGGTTAGGGTTCCTTTTGATTCAATAATATTATTGGTGTATGCAGTTCATTTGTAACTTCGCGGGCAATAAAATTTTAAGTTATTTGAATGTACTCTTTATTAATTTGAAAAGAAGTCACTTTTTCTTTGATTGGGGATCGATTATTTTCCTTTCAAGGAGTTGTGAGCTTGAGAATTATTATGATAAATATTTTGGTTTGTTTTCGTTTTCATTTAATTTGTTTAAACGCTTCTGTAGTGATGATACGAATTTGTTACAGCAAATTAATACATTTGTAAGGGGCTTGAAATTGGATGATGTAATTCTTTTGTGTAAACTCAGCGGAACTTTATCATGGCACACGAGTACATATTGCTGTTTGATAGTATGAGGAGGTAATATTATTCCCATTACTTGTTATGCAGAATCGAGTATTAAACCAGCTTTTTTGTGGCGGGATAGGAGGAACTAGAAACAAATTTTGGCTTAGAAATGGCAAAGAATGATAAATTACATGGGGAATTTTATAGAAATGCATTTGAGGCAGTAGGGGAAATGGAGGGTTCTGGTAGCTCAGGACGGATTGACACAGAGATTACTGCTTCTGAGGATTCAAGTGCACCTACAAGGAAATGCATTAATTTAAATTCCAATAAACGGGACCAATTTGATGTCCCTCTACAAGTGCTTTCTTTGTTGCATATGCTACCATCTGAAAGAAAGGATTTAATATGTCGGTTGAGATTTGAACTTGAACAGATAAGGTTACTCCAAAAGAAAGTGGAGATGCAGAGAACGAATGCTGTTACATTGTCTTCTTCTAGTGACATTCTTAGTTGTAGTAATGGGACAAATGGGCCTCGAGCAGTGACTTTTAGCAAGTCATCAGTGATGGCCTCTGGGCCAGGTAAGAAAGCGAATCCTACAGCTAAAGGACGGGAATGGAATCGGAATAGTTCTGGAAGGTTTAAGTCTACAAAGCAAGCTTCAGCACCAAGCACTACAAATGTGATGGTGATGAAACAGTGTGAGACATTGTTGAATAGATTGATGAGCCATCAGTATGGGTGGGTCTTCAATGAGCCAGTTGACATTGTGAAGTTGAACATCCCAGATTATTTAAATATTATCAAGCAACCAATGGATCTGGGGACAATAAAGCAGAAGTTAGTCTCGGGCATGTGCTCAAGCCCATGGGATTTTCTTCGTGATGTGAGGCTTACATTCAAAAATGCTATGGAATACAATCCAAAAGGTCATGATGTACACATCATGGCTGAGACTCTTAGTAAATTTTTTGAAGTGAGATGGAAAAACATTGAGAAGAAATTACCCAAGACTGATGCTCCAGCTTTACAGGCAAAGTCAGGTCCACGGGAAAACTTACAAGTTACTGAAATTTCTCCCATTAAAAAGAGAAAAATAACTTCATATCAACATGAAGTTGTGCCAGAGCCTGTTAGGCGGGTAATGACAGATGATGAAAAGCAGAATCTGGGCAATGAATTGGAGTCTTTGTTGGCAGAGATGCCTGTACATATCATTGATTTTTTGAAGGAACATAGCTCAAATGGAAAGGATGCCGGAGAAGATGAAATTGAGATAGATATTGATGATCTCAGTGATGACACTTTGTTCACTTTGCGGAAGCTTTTAGATGATTATTTGCAAGAAAAACAGAAGAGCCAAGTAAGGGGGGAACCTTGTGAAATAGAGGTATCCTACTACCTCAGTTGAGCAGATGTTTTTCTGTAATGTATTTTTTGAGCATCTGTGAGTTTATGCACTCAAATCTTTGTTGCAGCTGTTGAATGAATCAGGGTTGAGCAATTCATCAATGCAACAACAAAAAGGTTGTTGTCTATGGCCTCTCATTGCATGTGTATAATATTTTCATAGGTTTGCCTGTTGGAAGTTCTTATTTGCCTGATCTTTGACGTGTTTGCTTTTAGGGAATGACCCAGCTGATGAGGACATTGACATTGGTGGCAATGAGCCTCCTGTCACAAGCTTTCCTCCAGTGCAGATAGAGAAGGATACAGGCCATAAGGGGAGTAAATGCATCAGTTCAGGCAGCTCCAGTGGTAAATTACCCTTATTATCCTGTCTTCTATGTCTGTTTTTATTTTCAAATTTATCTTTTACTCAAATTTTTTATCTTAATGGCCCACAGATATCTTTGAATTTTATGGGTTGCATTGTGTGGAAGAGGACATGCAAGTATTTGTGACAAGTTAACTGTTTACTATCTTGGATTAGATTTCTTTCCTATTTTTTGTGCTACTAAAATTTCTTTTTATGTTTCTCTTAGATTTCTCACTTACTTATGTATTTGAGTTCTGTTAAATATGGAATAGTTATTGCTGAAGCCTTCTGTGAAGGGTAGCATACAGCAAATAAAAAATGAAATAGTGAAATATGTCATAAGGAAACTAAATCCATGCTCAAGGTTTTGAAGCTTTTAATTGTTTGACTGGAATGTTCATCTGAACTTTAGGATTACATGCCTCGATGCTCATAACTTATTCCAACATACGGAGAAAATCTTCATTTAAATTGGAAGAAACCTTTTGGTTTCTTTTACAGTAATAACATTTTTTTCTAAAAATCTTCTTTTGCTCTCTGTCCATTTCAGATTCTGACTCTGATAGTTCGTCAGAAAGTGAATCTGATGATGCAAAAGCTTCTAGTCCAATAACTGCAACAAAGGTACATGCTATATTGAATAGTCTCAATAATTTGAAAGGCCTGATTGGCATCATGAGTATTTTGTGTGTGAAGTTGTTCTTTTTACTTGTTTAGGTTCCTGAAAACTTGGGTTCTGGGGTTCAATTAGATGACAAAGCAAATGCTTTTGATCCACTAGAGATAAATCGTGAGTATTTCATCCTTTTTTTATGGGTTGTGCGTTTGTCATATAGAAGTAACTTTGATGTTTGGCATTCATTGTATGGAAAGCCATGAAATAGATGATCTGGGCTGGAATAACTTATTTACAGCTTTCCTAGCTTTATGTTCCCCACTATTATTACAGATTTACAATGCAAGACTTGAAATATTTGATTCAGCAAGTGGAAGATCATCAGTATGCTATGGAAGGAAAATCTAGAAATTGCATTTTTAGTCATGATATTTTCTAATCGACAGCTTCCTTTTAAGGTGTTTTTGAGGTCTCAAAACATCATATGGAAATTCTTTGTGAAAATATAGCAGATGCACATTGCACTTTTAGTTTCTTTTCAAAGGAAAAAATGTGGAGGTTACTTTCCAATTTAGGCTATCAGAAATTAAAAACCCAATTGTATTAATTCTCTTAAAGCTTGTTAAGCACCAACATGCTCTCTCCCTCTCCTTCATTTCCCGTCACTTGGTTTATTTATAAAATTATGAATCTTATTTGTCCAGAATCATGTCCAGAATCAGTTAGTGGACTGGATCAACTTGAACAATCTTCCCAGCAAAAGCCAAGTTCTGTTGAGTCAGATTGCCGCCAAGACGGTAAGCTCAAGTGTGGAAGGAATTATTTTCCTTTAATTTTTGTTTGAGCATCTCACAAATCTTCCTGCAAAACTCTTAGGGGACAGTGCACCAAGTGAGAGGCAGGTCTCTCCGGAGAAACTTATCAGGGCTGCAATACTGAAGAACCGATTTGCTGATACGATATTAAAAGCGCGAGAGAAGACGCTTTCACAGGTAGGATACTTAATTTGGTCCACCTGCAAACTTAGATGTTATTGTGCATGGCAATTTCTGAGGGTTAGTTCTCGGTATGATCAGGTTGACAAGGGGGATCCTGAAAAATTGAAGCGGGAGATGGAGGAACTTGAGATGCAGAAAAAGAAAGGTTCTTACTTACAATATTCTGTTAAATCTTTTGTGGTTTTCAAATGAAGTGCTCTTGGTTGTATGTGTGGGTGAGGGTCATGTGGATTTATGTTGGTATTGTTGGTCCTCTGCTTTGAAAGTGTAGTTATTTGCTTGTTTCTGTCCAGAAAAAGCTAGGTTGCAAGCTGAAGCCAAGGCTGCAGAAGATGCTCGAAGACAGGCTGAGGCAGCAGCTGCAGCTGAGGCTAGACGGAAGAGGGAGCTTGAAAGAGAAGCAGCACGGCAGGCATTGTTACAGGTAAAAGTGCAGATTCATGTTGTGGAACTGCATCTTTGTCCACTATTCCTTGTTCTGGATTTTACTAGTACCTCTCTTGTTTATGCAGATGGAAAGAACTGTTGAAATTAATGAAAACGCTAGGTTGCTCGAAGACCTAGAAATGCTTAGGAGTGCACCAGCTGAGCATTTGCCAAGTTCTGTTGATGAGACAAGTCCTGATCACTCTCAGGATGGCCTTGGCGGCTTTAGATTTGGCGGAAGTAATCCTTTAGAACAGCTCGGTCTGTTCATGAAACAAGACGATGAGGAGGAAGAGGGTGAACCATTAGATGTTCCAAATCCTGTAAATGATGTAGAAGAGGGAGAAATTGATTAACCTTGTGTTAAGCTTGTTTGTGTATTCATGAAACAGTAATGAATCAAGAGTCATAAGCATACATGATACGTCTGGTTCCATAAAAACGACAATTACAGCTTCTGGCACTCCGAATTACCTTGGATAGGGAGGGCGAGAAGCTGCGGGATTGCTTGAGTTTGATACAATACAGGTCAAGTTACGGTATGGTGCTTGAAATGTCATCTACAGCTGATAAAATCCTGCATCAAGACGAGTTTGGAAGGGGGGTGGGGGGTGGGGTGGGGCCGCGGGATTGCTCGAGTTTGATACAATACAGGTCAAAGTTAGGTTATGGTGCTTGAAATGTTCATCTACAGCTGATAAAATCCGTGCAATCAACGACGAGTTGGAAGGGGGGTGGGGGGTGGGGGTGGGGCGGGGCGTGTGGTCGTAGAGTTGTATTTTATCCCAAGGTAGTCCCGCATTATAATTTATATGTAAGATGACGTTAAAAAGGAACAAAAAAACAAAAAGAAGTCATATTACATGGTAATACGTTTTTTTTTTTTTTTTTTTTTTTTTGTTTTTTTGGGTATCCTTGTATGTTATTATCATTCAGCTTAGCTCTTCGCAAATTTTTTAGATCAACTCGTACATGTAATATCATTTTGTTATTACTCTACACAAAATGATTAATTTATTTTTTTTTTTTTTTTTTTTTGTTTTTTGGGTAATCCTTGTATGTTATTATCATTCAGCTTTAGCTCTTCGCAAATTTTTTTAGATCAATCGTACATGTATTATCATTTTGTTATTATCTAACAAAATGATTAATTAATGTAAAATCGACAATAGAAAATGACATTATTAGATCAATCGTACTCCACTGAAAATTTCTCCCTTCTCTTAACTCTGTTTTGCTTTAGCTCTTCGCAAATTTTTTTAGCTGTGGAAATAGTAAGAAGAAAAAAAATACTTTTTCCATTTTGAATAAAATAATTCTTAATAATTTCTACCCCAAGGCTTAGAAATTTGCTGTTGCTCATTTTGTTTTTGTTTGTAATTAGAAATTTACAATTTTAATTTATAAGAATATTTAAAAATATATAAATTTCATATTTTAGAAATTTATTGATATCAGGAAAAAAATACATAAAAATTATATACCATGACTATTGATGGTGGTGCATCAGCGGTGAATGATGATGATTGATAACAAGTGGTGACTATTGATGATGGGTGGATTAATAAATATATATTTATATAATTATAATAAATTTATCAATAATATTTTTTTAAATAAACTATTTTTTGAAAATAAGTTATTCCACTTTTAGATTGGGATAATTACTATTTCATCTCTGTAATTTTTTGCAATATGGGATTTTTCTTAAAAGAAAGAGAGTTTTTTTAAACGAATTTATAGTGGAATTAAATTGAGTAATAGAGAGAAAATTAAAATTGGAAAATCCACTTGATAAAGGTAAGTGTGTTCCGCTTTTCACTACTATATTTGATGAAAAAAAATTTACTAGCTTTTTTCACAGAAGCCAAAGAGTTTAATAAAGTGATTTACAAAAACACCGTCGTTTCAGTTCCTTCCCAATCCATATGGAACTCTCTTTCTTCCCCGGAAGACTCAGAGCTCTCAATTCGACAATTTCTCGAGAAGTACGAAACTAATACAAATATCTCTGATCAAAACCAAATTATTAGGTCATTCCAAACCCTACCCACTATTTCTATCTCTCTCTATAAAGCATAAACCCTCTCCTTCCTTCTCTTTCACTGTCTTCATCATCTATCTAATTGTTCCCAAATTCTGATCCTTCAAAAGGGTTTCCATAGCCACATGGAAACCCTAATCCAATCGCTCCCAAATCTCCCTCTTTTCTTTTCCTTCTTCCTTTTTATTTATCTCCTAGCTTACTTTGTTGTTTTTCGCAATTGGACCTCCAAAGTCCGATCAGAAGCCTCCAGTTGCTTGATCTCCCTCTGTCATGGCACTCCTGCGGTTTTCCTAGCCTCTTATGCTATATTCGCCGACTCGAACCGTGGCTTTTCGTCGCCGAACACTATAATCCAAGACGCTGTTCTTGATTATAGCATTGCTTATTTTTTAATGGATCTAATTCATTACGTGATTTTCTATCCTAGTGACGTCCTTTTTATCGGCCACCATTTGGCTACTCTGTTTGTGTTTATGACTTGCCGGTACGTTGTTTCCCACGGCGCCTACGCCATACTCTGGTTGCTGATTCTTGCTGAGGTGACGAGCTTGTGCCAGAATACGTGGACCCTCGCCGGTGCCCGTAGGACCGATGTGAAATTCGCTTCCAAGGTGTATGATTTCTTGTCCCCTCCTTTCTATGCGTTCTATTCTTTGGTGAGGGGGCTTTTGGGTCCATATTTTGTGTATCAAATGGGAGCTTTTTACATAAGTGGGGTTGCAGATCGAGTTATACCCAAATGGGTTTGGATTTCTTGGATGATTGTTGTGACGACTGCAATTTCTGTTAGTATATTATGGATTACCAATTTGTGGGTTGAATTGTACAGAGCAAAAAAGAGCAAATGTGAGAAGAAATTGACATAATAAAGAGTAAAAGATGTAACTTTTTTTTTTTTTTTTACCATTTATTGTATGTTGCATGGTTAGACAATTTTTCAAATCATAGGAATGTTATTTAACACTGAAAGCTCTGTGCTGGAGCTTCGTGGTTGGGTTTAGTACCCATTTTTGAAATGTCTCCTTTGTATCCTTAATGTAATTTTCCAGTTATAAGAAAATAAAATTATGTGAAGGAGACATTCCGTTCTAGTTCCATGCATTTTGTTCATGTTTGATCCATTTGTTGATAATGTTTATGTTTGGATCTATCTTTCTTTCTTCATAATGGGGTATCTGACGAAGACTTAATTTTAAAAAGTATTTACCTTTAAGATATTTAATGATTCTACCATGATTTGTTTTCTTGTCATTCCAGAGTGTAGTTGGGGTTGTTCAATCTTCTAAGGAAAGAATGTAAAAGATAATATATAATTATGTAAATTTTGTGTTGCACTGTCAAGGAGTTGGTAAAAAAAGACCTATTGGATTGAAGCTTAAAGGCTAAAATCAATGGATTTTTAATTACTGGAAGCCGTTTCAGCAAGAATGTGGCAGAAAATATCAAAGGAAAACAGTGTAATGCAAATTTTGTGGATGACATGAAACCACCAGAGATATATTGTTGGAGCCAAGAAAAGGACACAAATCTACTAATCAAACCTTGATTTTTGATCACCGTTAACTTGGTTTATTTTTTTGATACAAACAAATTATATATTGCATATCCATCCTTTGTTTTCCACGGGAAAGACTGTGTAATCAAGAGAAAAACACATAGTCCTTGGCTTTAAGTATTATATTTCTTAATCCTCCAATAGGAGATAAAGTCATCAATAAGATGCCAAATATAATGCATATCTGAAAGAGAAAAAAAAAAGAAACAAACAAAGTAATCAAAATAATAGTCTTGTGCTAATTATTAAATTGAATATGTATATGAAAAAATTAATAATTTAAGATGAATGTTACCCAGTTTGTAACCCAGGACAAGCTGAACCTCTTTGGTTTGTAGACTGCAAGCCACATTATGCAAGGGAGCTGAAAAATGAAACACAAAACACTCAATATTTTTCTTTTCGTTTCTTTTCATTTTCCATTTCTTGTTGCTTTTCTTGTTAGTACAAGGTTACAGATTGAGGCTTACAAAGTAAGTTGTTGGGGCAAAAGCAAATCCTCCAAAGAATCCGAGTAAGCCTCCAAAGAACGGAAAGCATATGCCAACAAACATTGTGAATGCTGTAATCAGACTATGTTTAGTATGCTGTAATAAAACGTATATTTGATTATATTACATTATGTAGAAAACTGTTGCTTACCGACGTATAAATTGCGGCTGATAAACCGAAGGGTTGTACTAGGCTTGAAATGCAATTTCTTTACCAAAACCGTTTCAATCATATCAAAAACAGGCATGGCATACAACTACACAAGAAGAAACACAACATATTATGGTTCTTAGATGACTAATTTCAAAAGAAAAATGAAGTAAAACAAGTTGCATTTTACTAACCAAATACCTGATAGCTTCCAATAACATGAACCACAACGAACATATTAGCAGCAACAATAAGCCAAGTTGGTTTTTCTAAAGAAATAAGGATATTGTCTTCAACTTTGTTTCCAAACATGTAGTATCCTATCAGAGCAACCGGAAAATAACACAATCCCACAACTATATATGCAATTACAACTCCTCTCCACATTGGACCTTTTGATGGCTTTTCTGGTGTCGAAGGTATTGTTGCTTGAATTTCTAACACTACGTTATGTCCAGCGTAGGCAAAAGCTACATCGCCTAATGCAGTAAAGAAATCAAATACTGTTCCTGATGTGGTTGTGGCTTTGTACCCGTATTCCACGTCCGGCTGACGACCCTTATGGACGGAAGCTGCCCAGGCAATCGTGGAGTAACTACAAAAATAACATTACGGTTTGTTGGCTGTTTTAAATGCTGTTAAGAAAAACTTTATCTACAGATCATAAATTGGCATATTTTGGCAACATACCTTAAAGACATGACCGCAGCGGCCAAGGAAACACCAGAAATGGAGTTGAAATTGGGGAGGTGAGCAAGAACAAAATGGACAGAAGCGAAGATCATTATAAAATAGGTTGTTTTGATTGGTTTACAATCCTTACAAACAATATCATGAACCTTTTGCAGAGATTTTCCTCCTGTAACCATATAGACTATATCTACGCCAACTTCACAAATTAGTTGTTGAGGCACAACAATGTAAAGACCAAGTTTTTCACCAAAAGCATGCTGCCCAAGCTCATGATACCGATCGAAACGTTTCCCAGGAACCATCTCATGCATTTCAACCATTTGCCATAGAGTGTATAATGTAATTACCCATGACAGTATAAGAATTACTGTACCAGGTCCCCTGAAATTGATCAAGATAGTAAAACTTGCTAAAAATGGAGATTTATATGATATATAGTACTTGAAATTCTAAAGTAACAGAAATTGTAGAATCAGTTTTATGTGTCTGCAGGATATGAAAGATACCATCCAAGATTTGACATGGCATAAGGAAGGCTGAGAACACCAGCTCCAACCATGGCAGTAACATTGTGGAAAGCTGCGTACCACCATTTTGCATTTCTTGAAGATGTGATGGGAAGCCAATCATCTATTGCCTTCTGCTTTGGATCTATCTGCAAGTGAATAAAGAAGCAGTAATCTTTCAGTTACATTCAATCACAATAATTTCATAAGTAGCTAGTCTTGTTTAATATATGTGAGAAAGAAGGAGAGAAACTTACATAGTTGGAGACATTATTGGGTATTTCTTGAGAGGCATCAGGTTCTTCTTTACCCATTGATTTGCAGAAAGCAAATTTTCGAAACACAGAAGAAAATGAAACTTGCAACAGCAAGAATTGGCTATATATATATATATATATATAAAGTATGAACGAAGAAAATATCGTATAAATTGAAAGTGATTGCGAAGAGATATCCGTCTGCCGGCTTCATGACAGAAAGCAAAATACATATGAAACAATTTAAATATATTTCTTTAATCAAGAATGTTTCTATTAATTTGTTCTTTCTATACATGGCCTGTATCCTATAATGCTTCTTGTTTTATACATTTAAAATATATATTCTATTTTTGTATAAATGTTCATGCAAATAATTGGTTTCACAAGGGAAGTCCAGCTAAGTGATATTGACAAATAAAATAAACTACCAAATAAAGTTAATTTCAAGTATGACATAAAAATTGAATTAATAAAATATAGTAACTTTTTTTATTATGTTTTTACTTATTATCTATATTTTAAATATGAAAAATCCTAATTGTTGCAATCTTTTGGATTGGAAATATAGTGAATTTATTATTTATTTAGTAAAAAATAAATTAATAAATACTTAATTCTTTAAATTGCATATCTCAAATATCATGTTTCTAAATTTACAAATATATTATCCACTAGATGTGAATATAATTTGATATTCAAATCACATTTAGAATTTTATTTTTTCATTAATTTTTTTTAAAAAAAGAATTGAAATACTTTTTTATTTTCAATTCCATTATTAATTGCAATTGAGGATGCTATTGTAAAAAAAAAAAATCGAAATTGGAGTAAAATTGACAGAAATGTCAAAATAAGCGAAATATAAAACCTATAAAATTCGAAGTATTCTTATACATTAGAGCAACTAAGGGCAAGTAAGTACTAAGTGTTTAGTGAAACAAGTTAAGAGTAACCTTTTTTTTTTCAAGGAAAAACTTAAAAATAATTTTTAAATAAGTGATTAAGGAATTCTAAGTTTGTCAAAAAAAAAAAAAAAAAAGAAAAAAAAAAACGAGACCAATGTTGATATTTTTTAAAAAAATTATTTAAGATACTTTTATATCTTTGAGTAATTTTTAGAATAAAGTTAACATAATTGAGTATATTCTATGACTCCTTACTTATTTTAAGTAGGAAAAAAAAAAAAAAAAACGAGACCAATGTTGATATTTTTAAAAAAATTATTAAGATATTATATCTTTTGGAGTAATTTTAGAATAAGTACATAATGAGTATTTATTTATGACTTCTTACTTATTTTAAGTAGATATTATCTAAACACTATTCTATTTATGACTTTCTATTTTATTTCTTAAAAAATCATTTATTATTTAATTTCTTAATATATCTCTATTTAATGTACATTTATATTCTCAAAATTTAATGAATCATTATTATGAATCATTTAATAATAGTAGAAGGGTATTCTAGGAAAAAACTAAATAAAAAATATAATTTACCTATATTAACTAATTTTCCTTTATTCATGTGAAAGTCGAACTAGGCCTATAGAGTAATATTTTTTTTAAAAAAAAAAACAAGCATTTTAATTTTGTTTGAAGTAGTGAGATTTGGAGATTCAAGTTATTCTAATTCTTAACTAAAGATATGTAATAGAAATATTATGTAATAATCTTTTGTCATGGAATCTCTAGCAGATTCTGTGTCATTTTCTTTTTCTTTTTCTTTTGTTTACTCCTTTGTCCAATCCTGATTTTGACCCTATGCTAATTACAATTAAATGAAGACATTTAGATATTGCATCATAATAATAATGTAGCTAAAGAGTAAATGCTGACTGTTAAACTAATTTACATGGCAACATGATCAGATAAAACAGTAAATTGTCAACTTCTGCATTTCTTACTGATTTTGTAAAAAACCTTAAATATTATTGCAGAATCTTTCCTATTGAATCTCTACACTTAAAGTATTCCTATTCAAATGGTGATATTTTCAAAGAATGACCTGTAAATTCAATATTCAGCAAGCTAAGTAAATTATGTTCTGTATATAGTTGGCACATTTTTTTGTAACTACACAACTGGATATCCAAATCCAAACTTGTTATTCAAAGGGAAAAAAAAAAAGCTACAAAATCGACCTTTTGATTCAATTTATCTTCTTGTAATTCACGTGCAATTTATTCGAATGTAGACAAATTCAGAGGCTTTTTGGGTAAATTAGGCATGAATCATAAGTTCACGAGCTAAATTGAATCAAAAAGTTCATTTTGTAACTTTTTTTTTCTTGTTCACATGTTCAAGAGGCAAATTGAACTTTATTTCAAAAATAAACAATATAGAATTTGCGCACATGATGAGAAAACATGCTATATTTGTATTCATTTCCATATGAAAGAAAAGAAATTACAAATCCATTTCACTAGCCAAAGCAGCAAACTATATGCATAACAACTTGTTTTTTTTAATAAGAGAAACAAAAAAAAAAAAAAAAAAAAAAAAAAAAAAAAAAAAAAAAAAAAAAAAAAAAAAAAAGGAAAACAAAAAACACATGTAGAGGCCTGTACGGAAACTTGTGTTTGATAATCTATGGCCATAGTTTTCCTCTTCCCTGAATGAAAAGCCAATGTAATGCCATAAGCTTACTGGCATAAATTTGCAACACAGCTAAAAAAAAAAAAAAAAAAAAAAAAAAAAAGAAAACAAAAACACTGTAGAGGCCTGTAGGAAACTTTGTTTTGATAATCTATGGCCATAGTTCCTCTTCCCTGAAGAAAAAGGCAATGTAATGCATAGCCTACTGATAATTTGCAACACAGTGTAAGCTTTGTCTATCAGCATCATCATTTAGCTTTCTTTCGTCGAGGATTCGCCTTCAGTAGCAACTACTCCATACAAATTGGTGTGGAAGCTTAAGAGTAGAACTCATAGGTCTTGGCTTGAAGTATTATAAGCCTCAATCCTCCAATGGGTGATAAAACCATTAGCAAAACTCCAAATACGATGCAGAGCTGCAATTGTGCGAATGGAATATTAATTATGAAGTGAAATTTAGCTTTGAAACAAATTACTCATTGGAAAAAGAAAAGAAAATGGCAGAAAAGAGAGATAAAAACACTGCAATTTGTATGAACTTACCCAGTTAGTCCACCAAGACAAGCTGAACTTTCTCGGTTTATAGATAGCCAACCACATTACGCAGGGGAGCTGAGAAATGAAATATTTTTGTAAGTTAATCAAGTAGTTCTTCCTCCAGATTATGATAAAATATAATTGAGATGGAACACGACTTACGAAATATGTTGTTGGAGCGAAAGCAAATCCACCAAAAAATCCAAGAAGACCACCAAAGAAAGGGAAGGTGATGCCAACGAACATGGTGAATGCTGCAATTAAAAAGAAAAGAAAAAAAAAATTGTAAACCCAAAGTTTAAAGATTCCATTTAGAGTGATATTAAAACCTGAAAAGAATTGCTTAAAGAAGTTGAGAGTTTACTTACCAACATAAAGGTTGCGAATAACAAACCGAAGCATCGTACTGGGCTTGAAATTCAGTTTCTTTACCAATACAGTTTCCATCATGTCAAACACTGGCATTGCATAAATCTGCATGTATAATAATAAAACCGAAAAAAAAAAAATAAAAATTTAACCTGCAATTCTGAAGTCAATATGATATAAAGTGAAAATCAAATGAAGTTTGATTTGTACCTGGTAGCTTCCAATAACATGAACAACAACAAACAGGTTAGCCATCGCAATAAGCCATACAGGCTTATTCAATGAGATGAGAATGTTGTCTTCGACTGAGTTGCCGTACATCCAGTATCCAATTAGAGCAACTGGGAAGTAGCACAAGGCCACAACTATATATGCAACAATGACTCCTCTCCACATAGGAACTTTTGAAGGCTTCTCAGGTGTGGATGGGATTGTTGCCTGAATCTCCAATACCACATTGTGCCCAGCATAAGCAAAAGCCACATCACCTAAGGCACTGAAGAAGTTGAAGATTGTTCCTGCAGTGGTTGTAGCTTTATAGCCATATTGCACATCAGGCTGAACGCCCTTATGTACAGAAGCCGTCCAAGCAATAGTAGAGTAACTGTCATTGAAACATAAACAAATCAATTACTTTCTTGCCTCTATGAAAAAGATCTAATACTTGGATTTTGTTTAGAAAAGTAGCTTGAAATGCTATTATAGCTGTTCTGAAACTTTTATGACTAAAATGTGTGAAAATTGCTTAGAAACTAAAGTTTCAAAATAGTGTTTTTTCTCAACATTAACTCAGAAAAACTGTAAAGGCTATTAGTTATATACAACGTGTTAGGGCATTAGAAAGTACCTCAAGGACATGACTGCAGCTGCAAGAGAGACACCAGCGATGGAGTTGAAGTTGGGAAGGTGGGAGAGTACAAAGTGAACTGAGGCAAAAATCATAATGAAGTAGGTTTGCTTAATGGGCTTGCAACTCTCGCATACAAGATCATGGAACTTCTTTAGTGATTTGCCTCCAGTAACCATATACACAATGCACACTCCAACTTCCACAATAAGTTGTTGAGGCACCACAATGTATAGACCGAGCTTTTCTCCGAACGCATATTGACCAAGTTCATGATATCTGTCAAATCTTCTTCCTGGAACCATTTCATGCATCTCCACCATTTGCCATAAAGTGTATAGTGTAATAATCCATGATAGGACTAGCACAACAACGCCAGGACCCCTAAAATTAAGAACAGAGACATTTACTAAGTATACTGGCCACAAAGACGTTTGAGGTCAAATAACAATATTAAGATGGGAAAAACCAACTGATCTTAAGAATATGAAAGATACCATCCAAGATTTGACATGGCATAAGGAAGGCTGAGTACACCAGCTCCAACCATGGCAGTGACATTGTGAAAAGCTGAGTACCACCATTTTGCATTCCTTGAAGAAGTAATTGGAAGCCATTCATCAATTGCCTTTTGTCTAGCTAGTTGTTCATCCTCCTGTTATTCATGACAAATTTCTACATCAAATTTAATAGCCAAATAAAAATAAAAATAAAAAAGAGGTACAAAATCTTTTTTCTTGGTATTACATAATCCAAATGCATTTTTAAAGACTCTCCAATTTGGTGTCTTTGGAACCTAGCAGCCAATTGGTTGCTTTGACAAATCACACTCTATTCAGCAGATAGTAACTATGCAAGTGGCCATATGAATATATTTTCCTTTTCTTAGCTTTTATGGTGGGACAGCTCTTGCTCTCTTTAGGAAAAGATAAAGAAGAAAAAGTTTCATGTATTTAAACCCATGAGCTGGAATTACGTAGGTTTCTGAGAACGATAAATTGGTAGCCATATTTGACCATTTGGTGCACCGACTTCCTTAATTAACAAATAAAAATTTGACCCTCAAAGTTTCAAGCAACAATTTGCTTAACACAAAGAAGTAATAAAAAAAAAGAAAAAAAAAAAAAAGAAAAAGAAAATAATTAAAAAGTTCTGACCAAATAACATGCAAGATTGAATTATTTGCACTCAAAAGAAGGAAAGAGGTAGGATTTGAAAACTCCAAGTTGCCATAACTCATTTTTCATTTTCACAACAGAATCTTTCAATTTCCAAAACTCATCAAAATATATAAACCAACACTATATTATCCAATAACCAAAATATCAAATTATAATGAGAATTACCAACAGATATTAAAATTTAATTTAACAATTTCTTCCCTAATACCTCAAAGGGTTGCATGATATGAAAATAAAGAGTATTATAGAAACAAGAAGATGAGTCCATTGCATTTGTTCTTTCTGATATTATATATGAGAATTACCAACAGATATTAAAAATTAAATTTAACAATTTCTTCCCTAATACCTCAAAGGTTGATTTGAATATTTGAAAATAAAGAGTATTATAGAAAGCAAAGAAGATGAGCTCCATTCAATTTGTTCTTTTCTGATATGTACTATATATATATATATATATATACTATACTATATATATATATATATATATAAGAGTCCAAACATATCAAAATACTAATGACGTTATGTTATATATATAGAGTCAAACATATCAAATACTATGACGTTTATGTTTTACACTTCAAAGTACAAACGTTGAAAAAGATAATCAAGTGCCGTAAACAATAAGGTAAGATTAAATATGAACTGAAAAAAAAAATCATAGAAAAACCAAAGTTCAAATAAAATATGTCTTTATCTTATCTTTTCCACCTCAAGTCATTTAATAAAATTATTTAGAAAAATAACTCGTGAAAAGCACAAATAAAAGAGAAACCTTTGTAGTGTCACTCCACATTCGGTGTACCCAGCTTTCTTGTCCGAAATACCAAATTTACTTTTTATAAACTTTGATTTTATAAAAATTACATTGCAATTAAAGCTGACTTCTTGGTTCAGCTTTCAGATGCAATAGTTATCATCTTCCAATGGTTAAAAAATAAAATAACATTGCTCAAGTAGCTATATTAATTATGGAGAGTAGGAATATTTTTCCCAGAAAACGCACAAACAAGACAAAAACAAACACTAGTTCTATAAATATAATTCAGTACATGATGAAATATATATTTTTCTATCATTTTTCTTTTCTTTTTTTTTTATATGCATGTATTGCCATCAAAATAAAACTAAAACACCCAAAAAGTTTAAATTTTTAATAAATTTCCTCACTGTTCATGTTAATTTTTGAAATTAGTAATTGGCACGTAATACTAAAGCTACCAATCAATCAAAAGCTTAGAAAGTTCAAAACTTGAAGACGAATCTCCCTGAGTTTTGGAAAAAGTTGATTACTTTCTTCTCTCTCCTTCTCTGTTTGTTTCTTGCGAAAAAGAAAATAAAACAATAGAACGCACTATCGAAAAAAGACACCAGAGAGAGAATAAAAGAAAGAAAAGGACTAAGAGAAAGAGAGAGAGAGAGTTACTTGTTGTTTAGGGGCAAAGCCCTGATCAGTAGGAGCTTGATTGCCCATATCTTTGCCCATATCTCTACAAATTGCAGAGCAAAGAATCAAATGAAAGATAAGAAAATTTGTGAGATTGGGAATTAATAAGTGAAATATGAAGTGAATGAAAATTGGAAAGCTGTATTTATAAAGAAAATGATACATTACAGAGATCCGTTTTTTTGTTTGACTTGGAAAGTCTCGGTAGGGACAAAAAAAGCTCATTTTTAAAAGGAAAAGAAAAAAAAGTTAAACCTTTCCTTTTTTTTTTTTTTTTTTTTTTTTTTTTTTTTTCCTTTCCTTTTTTTCTTTTTTTTTTTTTTTTTTTGCCATGGAAAGAAAAAAAAATTAAAATTTTCTCTTTGTATATCTTTGACATTTTTTTAACCTTTTTTTTTTTTTTTTTTTTTTTTTTTTTTGCCATGAAAGAAAAAAAAATTAAAATTTTCTCTTTGTATATCTTTGACATTTTTTTAACCTTTTTTCTATATATTTTTTGTTTTATTATATTAGAAAATTCCAAGAAACCACGCACCCACTAGCCAACTATCAAGAAAACCGTGTAGATGCATTGTGTATTTTCATTTAATCAATAATAAAAAAATACAGATTACAATAAAATTATTATTTATTTATTACTTACTATATATCGAATTTGATTCAATTATTCTATTTTATAATTTTTATTTTGATTATAGATTAAAAAAATTTTAATTACTATATTTAAACTATAATTTTTGCTTTGTTTTTTTTTAATTAATTTTTTTATTAACATTAAAATTAAATGACCCATATTAAATTGTCATTGAAATTAATCAAACTATAATCAAATAGAGTTTTCTTGAAAAATTTAAATGTCGATACTTTCATTTTATTTACATTAAAGTTTAATTAATGATAATATAATAATTCAACTATTACATTTATTGACAAATAAATATTTTAAATAAAAATAAAATATTTATGTTTTTTTTCTCATTACTATAGCTTGTATATTAAGTTGGAAATTTTGAAATGAAAGAAAGAAAAATTGTGAAAAGTCATAATTGTTCATGAATAATTATATCTATTTATAAATAGTCTATAAGTTCATGAACAATTATGTTTATATGAATATGTATGTATTTATATGAATATATAAAGTATAAACGTCACTGTTCTTCTTTTTCTAATATCCCAAAATCAAATTTCATAGATTTTTAATAAAATTCATATGTAAATGAAATGAATTTTGTGTGAATTTATTTAAAATGCTGTCTAAATTAGAATTAGGGTTTGTAATGTGTTTACCAAAATAACCCTTTTGATTAACTTTAGAAAAGAAAGAACTTTTTTTTTATTATTATTTATAGAACTTCAGAAATGGAAAAACAAAATCATTGCAGCCAAGAATATATAAAGTTAATAATCAAATTTCCAAAGTGTTTTGATTTAATTGGCGTATGCTTTGATAATTTCTATATACGTTTGTGCTAAATAATTATAGTAACCTTTTCATAATGGTGAAGACAGCCTAAGTCCACCAATATAACCATAATTATCACATTCTATATCTTTTTCCCTCTCGAGAAAAAAAAAAAAAAAAAAAAAAAGCCTGCCAAAGAATACGCGCTTGACCTACATATGGTCTTTTATTAACACTCGCTGCTCAACGGTGTTTAATATTTAATCCAAATTCCCAAACGTGTCTGTTTCATTCTCTATATTGTTTCTTCGATTATGATTTTAAGTTTGGCGTACTGGCTTTTGATTTATATTTATCTATATTTACGTAAGTACTCTACTGCTTAAATGCCGGTTGTTGCCTAAATACATCCGATATAGTATTAAGTAACCATTTATTAATGCGTATTTTCGAAGACAGCCTAAAAGTCCACCAATATAAACCCCATTAAATATCACAATTCATATTCCTTTTTCCCTCTCGAGAAAAAAAAAAAAAAAAAAAAAAAAAAAAGAAACAAAAAAAAAAAAAAAAAAAAAAAAAAAAAAAAAAAAAAAAAAAAAAAAAAAAAAAAAAAAAAAAAAACCTTTTACTGCTCTGTTACACCATGTCTTGAATTTATTTCATTTGATCACTGTTATTGTTGGTATTTGTAAAAAAAAAAAAAAAAAAAAAAACCTTTTCTGCTCATGTTACACATGTCTTAATTTATTCATTTTGATTTGGTTTATGTTGGTTTAACTACAACTTAATTTTTCTAATTTTAAAATTGTATTTTATTTTCGAAAAAGTGATATATATATATATAATTAGTTGGCAATTTTGATGCAAAAAATATACAATAAAATAATTTTTTGATAAAAAACATATAATTAAAAAGTAATTTATTTGATACTAAAGGATATATATATATATAAGGAAAACAGATTGTATTATATAGAAGCCAAGTGTAAATTGCCAAATATAAGGAAAAAATAATTTTCTAAGTTAATTCTGAAGCAAAACCAAATATATATATATATATATATAATATATATAAATCTTGAAGGCAAAAAAATAAAGTTAACGCGCTCTCTTTATTCAAACATTCCATTTATCTTTTTCTTATAGATTTTTGAGATTTTATTTTCATTTTATTATAATTTGATTGGATTTTAATATTTGCTAGATCATTCTATCATAAAAAAATTATTTATCTATTGTTTAACAAAAAATATGATTGATTGGATATTTAAAATTCTCTAAGATCACTTTGTCCATACTGAATTATTATCATACACTTAACCAAATTATTTTGATTTTACAAAGGTTTCTATGGTAAAAATTAAGCATCAGATTTAACTTTTACTATCTATTAATATAAAAAATTAACTCAAAACATAAAAAAACATTCAGCGAATGGATTGGAATTGCTAATGAATCAATACTATCTCTCTACTTCCTCAATCTTCCACTCAAGGTTGATAAAATTTTTTTTTTTTTTTTGTGAGCAATATTATTTATTATATTATGAAATGCAAGGGCAGCCTTTTTTAAAATCTTTCTTTCTTTTAATTGGTTAAGTGATGGTATAATATGCCTGTTTTGGTGATAATTCCGTATCTTGTCTCTTGCCAACTGATTACCATGTTATACAATGAAAATCAAGTTTAATTAATTACTAAACATTCTCAAATTGTTGAATTATTCTACTAACTTAATAAATTAATTATTTCTATTTCAGGAATCTTCAAAGGAACAAAAGCCATACAGAAAGCAAAACGGAGGGTTTCTATTTATTCTGTTCTTTGATCTTGAATACAATTCGCATAAATATGATTGAATTGAAAAATTTTTTTATGCCTCTTTTTTTCCACTAACTAATTTGTTTTATGTTGTCTTATAAGGTAACTCTCTCAATTTAGCTGTATTATTTTATTATTAATATCAAATAAATTAATTATTAGTTTTTAATGTAGCTCATATTTTTTTGTTTTTCATTTTTATGTTCTTGGCCTTCTGCTTAGCTTTTTTTGGGAAAGGTTTCATCTTATTTAGCGTATTTGTTTGGAAAGTAATCCACGAAATCAAGGAACCACGAAATCAAGAAACTACAGCTCATGGGGAGGCTTTTGATACCTGCTGTTATTTTGATTTAAATTAATTATTACGGTATCTTTTCATGTAACCCTTAATTTCGTAAAAAACCTAATTAATATTAATAAATAATTTAATTATATTTTATGTTAATTAATTTAATTATAAAATAAATAAATATACTTCATCTATATTGAATTTGAACTTTATTTATATGGAATTATCTTGATAATATAAATTGTATTGAAATTTTTAAACTTAACTAAAAACCATTTATAAATTTAACACTAAAGTCTAAAACATTTAATTGAATTGATATTAGTTATTTTAAAATAAATTAATGACACCTATAATTTCTTTTAATTTAATAATTTTAAAAATAAAGATGATAATTTAATAAAGTAGCCCTTCAGGAAAATAGAATTTTTTTAATAATATACTAAATACAACTTAATAAATACAATATACAACAATAAAAAAAAAACTACATAGTGAAAAATGGGATCTTTGATAATGTATTTGGTTAAATTATAAGCACTCTCGCAAAGCGCGGGCTCCTTCGCCTAGTTTATAATAAATCATAAACAAAAATAAAAAAAAATACTTAATTTCTTATTTTTAATATAATTAGTTCAATTCTCAAACATTATTATCACTGTTGAAAAATACATTAATAGTGTGTGTTTGCATCTTTTGATGCATGTCATAACTAGGAGTGTTTAAATGAGTTCACGACACGCAAACACAATTGCCCTAAACACGCCGAAATAAATGAGTTAGGATTGAGGTAAACAAGTTTTCTGCATAAACGGAGTCACTTATTTATTGACCACAATAGAACGTTTGTTGTATTAAGGTTGGACCACCTGAGTTTAACGGAGTGACTCATTTAATCTAAGAGTAAAAGTAATCTTAGTGTTAGATATAAAATACTTCAAATTAAAAACATATTAAATTTTATTTATTGTATTAATTTTTTTAATTTTAGTTTATGAATCTCGAAGAATTTATTACATTTTAGGTGTTTGAAAATTTATTTTTTAAATATGAATTAGAATTAAAGGTTAAAACTTAAAAATACTAAGTGGGTCGTATATAGGTCAACGCATCCACTTAAACCTTAATATGATATTAAACGGGATACACGAGCTGTATATGGGTCAACACAACCCACTTAAAATCTGTTATATGATTATTAAGCGGGTTTAACGTGTGTTTTCGTTGTCAACCGTTCTAATTTTTGTTGTGTTTGTGTCAAAGTTATGAAAAAATTATTTCATCTTTTAATATTACTCGGCTATCACGCGAGTTCTAATACTAATAATATATATATACATTTAATTTCTGATATAATTTAAAAAAAAAAAAAAACCCGACTGAAAAAAAAATATACATAGCTTACGAATTATTGTACCATTAAAAAAAACAATCTCAATGCATCATAAGGATATTCCTAATTTTTTTTATAGAATTACTCCTAAATCATTACAAATAAACAAATGTAATAATGTGTCACATCCCAATAGAAAAAAATAATTCTAATAAATATTTGAAGGTGAGGAATCATTTTATTAATAATTAATAGAGTTTTGTATATATGAATAAAAATATTTGTAACTAATTTATAGTTTTTTTTTTTCCGTAGTGATTCACAAAAGTATATTAACTCATATATATGCACACTCAACAAAGTGAATATATATTTTTATAATTATTTAAGGGAAAAAAATTTATTATTTAGTCCCTCAGGTTTTACATAATTATCCAACTAATCTCAAGGTTTGCCGCTAAGTATATAATTAGGTCCCTTCAGGTTTAACTGCGTTCTAATAAAGCGTCATTCCGTCTGAAAAAGTGGGTTTTTTTCCATTTAATTGAAGACTAAAAAGACTAAAACACCCCTCCCTCGCTGACGTAGACCAGTATGAAGCCAGGAATCGCCACACAACGGCCATAACTTAACACGTTTATTTTTTATTAATTTTTTTTTGAAAAGAAATAAATATATAATTTATTACTATCTTCTATTTTTATTTTTTATTCTAATGGATTGTACAGACACCTTTGTTCCGTTGGAAAAAGGTTGATCTAATCTTAACATTTATAAATATAAGTAAATTTTTTATTTTAATTTTTTTATATCATTTGGACGATTCTATGAGTTTTCTTTTTATTTTTTATTTTTAAAATGATTATATATTACTCAATCTCTAGTTCATAGACTAAGTTTCTATCTTGCTCGTGCTCATCAGGTTTCAACAAAGGAAATACGCTTCCAAACAGAAAATATTTATTTTATTAACCAAAAAATCGAACATTTAACCTCTTATTTAAAAGAAATTGAATTCACTTTTAGACATTTTGTATAAAACAAATACGCTTAAGTTATATAGTAGAAAATCACATTCAAATAATAAAAATGGACTCACATAAAAGGGGGTTGGAGTGTGAAATTTCGATTTAAATAAAAATAAATATTATCACGGACCACTTTCAAAAAACAAATAGAAAACTTCCCTCTCTTGATTCTCTGTTTTCTCTCGCCCGTGTTTCAAAGACAAAAAGGACTTTCAGATTGTGGACAAAGAGGGTAGTTTGTAAGTTCGTTAATTCGTTGATTTACTTTACGGTCAGCAAAATCATTATCCCACTGTTCTAGATGAGGTAAGTATTCGACTTCATACACTATCATGTATTCTAACACTTTGTAATTAAGTTCATTACATATTTTTAAATAATTACAAACTAATTATTTATTATCGGTTCTATTTGTTGGATAGAATTTTATAGCCCATAACTAAACCTTCATTGTTTGCGTGATGCCGTAATGAACTCATTACCTTCTTATAACTACTTGGCAAATCACTCCAAGTACAAGAATTTTCTAATATCTCACCATTGTGGAGCATGACCGAGGCCGAAAAATAATTTTCAGCCAATCCATCCTTAAATATTTATATATTATATAACCTTTACCTAATCTGGGAAATATTTATTACTATTCATGCACTTCTTTCTTCATCATGGGTTTTTTTTTTTGTGTGGTTGCTCGTGGTAGTGAATTTCAATTTTATTTTTAAGAAAAATTTACCTATCTCATTTGCATATAATTAAAAATTTAAAATTATACCAATCCCTAATGTATAGTGGTGGTTGCTGGCTCATAGTGCTATTCCTCATAATTGTTCCTAAGAAATGATTGATAATATATTATATATAATATATATAAATTTTGCAAAGAAAATTAATCATTTTAATTAATTTAGCTTTAATTAAATTTCAAATTGAGAATATTCTAATTGTATATTAAAATGATTTTCACACATAGATATGGGATAGCGTGACCCACTAATATGAATTCAAGGTCACATATAGAAATATTTATTTGTAAAGCCTTAATTAAGGTTATAGATTATAGCAAGTTGGATCAATTGCTATTATTCAAATTTATGAAAAATTTTCTCCTAGCTATTAAGAGTTCAATTGATCACAAATCTTGATTTGTAAGACTAATTACTTAAAGATTAAATTTTGAATTACATGACATAAAATCACCAAATCATGTTTTGAATTTTTTGTTTAATAAAAAAGACTTGATCTCAATAAAGTGTAATATATGATACGAGACATATTATTATTGTGGAATCTACACAGTAAATATTAATTTAACGGATTGTGGATTATACATTATGAGATAACTTCCATTTAACTCATAAATATAGTGTAAAAAAACCCAAGTGATTCGAGATGACACTTCGTTACTCTCCTATATTAGTGAGAACACTAATTAAACTACATATATTTGGTGGATTTACTCGTTGTTTGTTGCTATGAAATTATTTTTTCATTTATTTTTACTATTCTTATTATAACTATAATAATTAAAAAAAAAAAGGTAAATTTTATAATCAAAAGATGAGTATCTTTGCTTGATAGAATTCAATAGCCACCCATTTAGTTGTACCAATTGATTTTCATAACACCAATCAATGTGGGACCCAAGAAAGTTGACTTTCCACTCTCAATCAATTCCCAAAAGCCCTCTTAATTAGGAAATCACTTGTAAGAATTTCTCATTCTATTTTTTTTTTTTTTTTTTTTTTTTTTTTTTTTTTTTCTTTGGGTACAAAGCTAAACATTCAAAGTCAATCCAATAAAACAATTTGAAATATAACATCCTGAGTGGGAGGTCAACGGAATGCAAGGCTGGCCCATTATCTATTTATTTCGAAATTTTTGATAAGTAGTAATAAGTCAATATATATATTGAATACAAATGCAAAATTGTAGAATATTAAAAATTTATAAAAATTATCTTTTCTAAAAGCATAAGTAGGGAAATTATATTTTGAGATGAATGGAAAAAATTTGGAAAAAATGATTATTTTTCATAGGAGAAATAAAAAATATTATGCTTGGTTTCTTAAAAATTTTTAAGAAATATAATTTTGTTCAATAATGAATTTATTATTATAAACAAAATATTTTGGTTGATTTCACTAAATTTTATATAGAAATTAATTTTGAATACAAACAGGAATTAAAATAATTTAATCCTAAAATTTTTTTTTAAAAAAATATGTGGAGTGTGGGACATGGTATATGGTATTACAGGAAAGGAATCTTCTGCCGTTGTGGTATCGTTTACCTTCAAAATTGCGCCTGCCCCACTCACGCACCCATGTTTCTTATTTCTCTGTCTCGTCTGAATCAGAAGATGTCTAACGCAAGGAATTGATTACATTTCTGTGGGAAAAATTCTGCGCCAAAAAGTAGCACAAAAGCGACTTGGACAAGTTACCAACGTCAACACTATGTCCATGAATGCTACACTCCATCTTTTTATGAATATTTTTTCGACTATCAATAAAACCATTTTAATTAATAATAATAAATAATAATAATAATTAATATTCACATTTACATGTTTTATATATATGTGTAGGTCTAATCACCATTTTTTAAGTATTGGAAATGAAAAAAAAAATGTATATAATGACAATTTAAAACCATTAATGTTTACCATATTGTTAAGTTAATTAAATAAATATTTAATTCCGAGACTTGCACAATTAATTTGATTTTTGTGTATATAAGTTAACTAAACAGGTAGCAGGAACAAGAATAGAAACGTTTCTTTCAACTAATTTTATCTATTTTGAGTAGAAAAAAACTTTTTCTTCGTCAATGGAATTATTATTGATTAACATAAAACTAGATAACTGAAACCGTTTGGGTCAGTTGTTTCAAGCACAAGTTACTCGTGTACGGAGACATTTTGAACTAATGTCAAAAGGGAAAATATAATATAATTGTAGTTGCTATGGCACCGGGTGTCGTAATGTCAAAGTTGTCGCTATTTTATATATGTTAAATTGAGAATTATTTGTCCAGAAAAGTCAAAACAACCTTAAAAAAAAACAAAAAAAAAACAGGAAAATGTTCTAAACCAGATTATAAAGTTTTCATAAAACAAAGCGACATGGAAGTCACAATCTCACAGCTACATATGGATGTGTAACCCTGAATGACGATTTGCAACATGGGAAAATCAATTTTAATTCATATACGTTATAATTTAATTAAGGATGATTCAATTTTATAGAAAAGAAATTACGTCATCTGTTGATGCCATAAACTTATATAAGCACAGGTGTGAGGGGTTAATTTATATCTATGAGGAAATTCATAGAATATAATGGTGTCAAGGATTTTTATTTCAATGAATACTATATATATATATATATTATATATATACTATATATATATATATATTTTTTTTTTTTTTTTCTGAAAAAAAAGAGGAAACAATTTAAAAAAGAGACAGCCTACTTGTTAACAATAAATTTTTTTCTTTTTTAAAAAGAAATTTTAAGAATAAGCGACTTATATTACCATTTTTATTTAGTTGTTAAAAATGGAGGGGAATAAGGATTATTTTTAATCAAATTGAAATACACAAAATTTTTTTTTTTTTCAATTAATTTGATTTTATAATTTAAACTTTCTTAGCAGGCAAGCTATTAGTAAGCCCCAAGCCAAAGACCGCAAGGTAAGAATTCAAGTAAACCTCCAAAACTTAGGCCCATAAACATTCCAGACTCAAGATTGGGAAGGGGCCGCGCAGAACGGAGGCCCCCACATGCCACAAATTATGACGTAGGCTCTCCACCCCCCCCCCCACCCATACTTTGAGGAGACCTTAGACCAGCACCCCTCCCAAGCTGCAATGGAAGTCACTGACCTTAGGCCATAGGCCCTTGTTGATCAGCCCATTGACCCGTCCAGTAAGTATGTTTCATCGAAAGGGGATTTTGCCTCTACTATAATACACCCTCAGCTGTCATATTCAATGGCATAATTTTTCCGATGTGGGATTTAGCTAATTCACTTCGTTTTATATTTTTCCCGATTAGAGCTCCCTTTCTCTCTGGCGTTTTGTTTTCCTTAATAACAAGAAAAAGAAGTTGCGAATAGTTAATGCTTAGGAATATCACATTTGTTTCTTCACTACTGTGAACAAGGTAAAGCACAAGCATGTACTTTAGAGAAGAGTTTTTAAGTTCCATTACATAACCTACTCAAATATTAAACAAGAAAAAAGAAGAAAAAAAAAAAACATTTGCAGGAAATAGCTACAGAATTTGCATAAACCTCTCTTCTAAAGTTAAGGACAGTTTGCCTTGGCTGCTCAGCTATGACACCACTTCTTTCTTTCTTTCAGAATGCCATAGCCTCCTGATTCAACCACTGAGATAACAAGGATTGGAGCTGCTACTTGCCTCCTGCCTTTCGGTGTTTTTAACTGACAGAGCAGCATGTACCAAAACAGAAGTACGGCTCCTCAACTCTTATTTGCAGTTGGGTGTAGTTGTAGACCCTTCTTTGCTGATCACATTTGGTGCTCCATCATTCAAATGGATGATTGGAAGATGATGGTCCAGGCAACATCAGTATCTATAAACAACCCTTTTTGTTTATCCAATGAACTAGGAGAAGATATGGATGATTCGGGAAAATGAGCTTGGACCTTGACCGACCCGGAACAATCATTTGCGCACAGTTGGAATGGACACCATCATGATACCCGAAGCAAACTTCTTTTTAGCTGTTGGACTTTGATTGATTACTTCCTAACAGGAAAGTGTTTCTTTTGTTATTGGGAAGAGATAAAGGCTTCATGAATCTTTGACGAAAAGCGGAAGTAGCGGGTCTTTTCCTCTGGAAACCGTTACATTTTCTTGGATGACTTCTACGAACTTGGATCCACTTGAATTTCTTGAATCTCAGTTTTCTTTCCTCTAAAGCCGTGGCCAGTGGAGGACTTCTTATCAATTGTGTGCTGCCATATTAATAGAAAAACTGACATCCTATTAGTTGTTGAGCTCTGGTTCACAATTAGGAGTCGACATGCTTCATTGGAAGGCTGAACGCATTCTACACTAGCTTGGATCAGCGCCGGAATCTTGATGCAATCGCAACACCAGTGAACAAGGAATAATCTCTGCATCGGAGATTCTTAAATTGGATGTCCCAGGAACTGAGTTTCCAGGTTCCTTGCATCTTCAATCGGGAGCAAATAGCTTCTTCTGCAATTATAATCTTGGCAACCAAATATTAACCACACTGCTGAAATTAGTTGCCTAAGAGGCATATCTGATGATGCAGAATTGTGGACGTTGCTTGAGATAGATCAAAGTGGGGTCATCCCATCTGCAATCCGGACATTTCACATTGATTCGATGGCAGCAGAAATCAGGAGCCGGACAGTCAGAATTCAACATTTTCCATACGATGGCTGTGTGGAGCGGGCAGTCCCTTCCATCACTGTTTTTGGCATCGTATGAATCTTCCACATTGAATATTTTCCCAACATAATCAACATGCTTCATAAGCTTCAATCTGACGGTCCAATCTTTTTAAATTGCGTTGAGTTTGGAATTCCAGGAACGGCCATTATGAAGAAAAAGTTTTCCTTCCAGCGTTGTTCGTTTGAAGAATTCAATTGCAGGGACCACGCAACAAATCAGAGGCCTCAACTACAGATTTGATTTTGACCCCTGTAAAGCAAGCAATGTTAGGCCAATGCTGATTGCCTTGATGATCATTTGGGGAATTGATTATTATTCAAAAGTTTATGCTATTAGATCTTTTAAAAACCTGACCCCTAAAGGGATTAACAAGGAGCCTTATAAGAATAAGATAAAAAATATTCTTAATTGAAGATTGATTTGAAATGGCATTGTGGACCATATCTATGGACAACCAATACCTTCCATTAATATTAACCTGAAAGATGGTTTCTATTTGGTTCAAATTGCTTTCCTTTTATTCAGGAAGTCGAAAACAGGAGGATCCCGAGAAAGCAATATTTTACTCCATTGGATAATAGTTGGTAAGCCTTACCATATTTTATTTTCATCATGGATTCAATAGGTTTTCTTGGGTACCACATTTAACCCCAAACAATCCAAACCACAAGTTTAAATGCCTAAACTGGAACAAATAAATTCATTGGTTTTTGAGGGTGGTTCATCAGTAGGAAATACTATCCATAATCTTTTACAATACATGAACTTTTTCTTTTCCAATTCATTAGGATGGTATCGGGAAAAACCCATCGACTTTGCACCTGAATAAATTGATAGTTTTGTACATTTATTAATAGCTAAATCATTCATTGGCATAACAGCAAAACGAATTACTACTGCATTAAACAACAAGACAGTAACAGATCTTCTCTCTATTT